CTTTTGAACATTACACTAATAGATTGAATGCCTCAACCTCAACGATAATGAAACTATGATATCATAAGAAACATTATCGACTTGACTGATTTTTGCTCACATGTCTATTAAATGTTGCATGAGCCATAGGTTTAAGGAAGGCTTTGTGGTCAAATATTTACTTATTTGAGGACCAAATGAAAAACAAAAAAAATGTGTTTTTATTTTATTTATCGACTTATTATACTCTATGACTTAACCCATTTGTGTTCCATAAATACTCATTTATGATACATAAATGCCTTCATTGCCCAATTACTCCATTGATCTTTGTTAATTAAATGTAATTTGTTAATTACTCCATAGATTTTCAAATATTCTTGACAAATATTATTTGGGTGAAATTTCACCATGTGTTTGGTCATAGTATTTGGGAAACATATTTCACTTTTTAGAAAAATATAATTTATACCCGTAAGTTTTAAAAACTATCAAAACTAACCATAAGTTTGTATTACAAGTCAATTGGATCTTCGTTGCAATAAATAACAAGTAGTATCCATGACACTGGAGCAGTGTGGTAGTTTGGAGTGAGTGCAACAAGCATCATTTCATACACCGTGAAGTAGACAAAACACATGACTTTGTTACCCTGAGTCGATTGTTCATCATTTTCATCAACAATCATATCATCACTTTCATATTCATTGAATATTTCATGACTACTTTGGTGTTCACGTAAAAAATTATGTAATACAATGCAAACAACTACTATAGAGGGTGTTTTTGTAAAAGATAAAAGTTTTTTGTAAAATTTTTATTTTTAAAAGATCCCAAATAATGAGATTTGACCCAAATACTAGAAAAAACTAGTATTTGGGAATTTGGGATATTTGCCAAAAATATTTGTCAAATAATGACAAATTATATGGACAAAGTCAGTACTATTTGCCAAATTTCCCCCCAAAAATTGATTTGATGATACTTATGCGTATTATTTTCATTTGAATCGCCAAACAAACGTACATGAGTTTCTCAACATTAGATTCTCTAAGTCTAACAAATAATATTCCTATGAGTTCCTCAATATTAAGTTCTCTAATAAGTTTCATGAATATGCCACTCTAATATTTGAAATCGTCAAACAGACGTACATGAGTTCCTCAACAATATTAGGTTTTCTAAGTCTCATTCATATCCCTATTCTAACATTTGAGTTGCCAAACGTACGTACGGAAATAATATAGATAAATCTCATAATCTTTTTGTTTGAATAAATAAGTTTGGATTCATAAGTCTCTTTTAAGAAATGAGCTTAAGGAATAAAGTTTATTAGATATATCATATAAGTAAATTTTTCATGAAAAAACATAAGTATATTTATAAAAATCAATACATTGCATAATATATAATTATAAGATAATATGTATATTAATTTTTAAATTAAAATATTGTTCGATTTTTTCTTCGATTTATTTTTAACAAAACCAAACCAAACAAAATGTTATTGATTTTCTAAAATTTAAATCCAAGTCAAAACTAAATAAAAATCAATTTCTTTAGTCGAATTGATATATAGAACTTTTAGTTTAAATCAATTTCTAATTTAACCGTGAACACTTCTGCCAAAAGCTATGAGAAATAGAAAAAGGATGCAACTTGTTAGTATCCTTGTAAGTTGTAGGAGAGGGAAAAAACATATACATAACAAAACAAGAAAAAAAAAATCTTGTCTACTCCTATTAGATAGTGTTAACATGATATTTTATAATTCGCGAACAGAAGCGGAGTCAGAATTTTTAATTTATGAATTTGAAATTTTATTATGATTATTTTACCTACTAAGTTCTTGATATATTATCTATGCAAAGTCTCTCTGCATTATATCCAGTGACATAGCTACATGGTGGTTAGGGTGTCTAATTCGTCGGAAAAAAAATACCATAATATACAAGTAAAATGATATACGAAATGATTAAATAACATATTTTGGACATCTTTTATAACATAACAAACTCTTGAAGCCCATTAGTTTCAGATGCTTGGAATGAGGTAGTACGCGCATGTTTGAATCTCACTAGTTTTACTTATTTGAAAAGAGCTTTTATTGTGCTATTTCTAAACACCCTTTATAAAAAATTTGACTCCGCCACTGATTATATCCAACCCCTATCTATATACAATGTGTGTATTTGGTCAACATGTTCTATTTACCTCCCGTGAAGACCAACTAGCTAGTTGGACAAGGTCGGGATGCAGGAAGTTGGAAGTTAGAGTCGTCAATATGAACTTAGTCTGTTAAGTTAGTCTAACTTAGTTCATGATTTAATAAGGTTGAGTTATGGTTTTTGAAGCTCATTTAAAAACATGACTTCTAAATTCAATCCGAGTTAGTCTTAATAACCCATGAGGCTTAAGCAGGCTGAACTAGGCCGAGCCGTGGGTCAAATAAAAAATCAATTAAAAAATAAATTAAATACTAAAAATAACAAAAGGAGTCCAAACTGAAAACCAGTTAAACCATCATTTTAATGGATGGAACGTTGTCTTTTTCTGTGTATGTTTTATTGTGATCTATATTATCAAAACTAGGTCAATATTTCTAATAAAGTTAGTTGTATTATTGTTACTAATTAACTATTTAATTTGCTTAATAATATCTCTATTTATTGGTTTGAGTGATAATGACAAAAAATTTATTCAATTTCGCAAAAGTTTTATGTCCAACAATTTCATTTTTCAAGATATTTGCATAAAATGACAATAATTTTAGTTTGAATCTATACAGCCAATTTTTTTACTTAAAGTCAAATTTAATAAACATTACTTTACTAGGATTATTTTGTTGTGGTGGATTTGAGATTTGATTAAAAGTAATGATACATATAATATATTATCTTGTAAATAAAATAGTTTTAGATGTTATAATTATTAAAGGTGGCATAATTATGATGTGAAATTTTCTTCTACTCGATGTGTAACATAAACTTTTTTGTGTTTTCATTATGACTTCAACAAGTGTATGTGCTAGACCTTTCTACTTTTGGGTGTCCAACCAATATTTGCAATTCCAGCACCAAAGGACTTATTACACCATTATTACTTCAACAAGTTTATAAAAAAAGAAAAGTATTGTGTTGTTAGTATCTTACAAGTTTATTATTGAAGAAAACATATGATTTGAACTCAAATATATTGTTTCTGAGCAAAGTATGCCATTTTAAAATGAAATGCATATAAAGTCTGCATACACTCTACCTTCACCAAATAGTGGTAAAATCTACGTACCCTATTGTGGAATTTCACTAGATATGTTGTTGTTGTTATTGTTATTTTTGTTTGATTTGGTATTAGCTTGAGAAAAAAATCTGACTATGATTTAGTTTGATTTAGCTGCCGACAAAAAATCAGAATTTAAACGGTACGCTAACATATCTATCATGTTTTTTGTTGTTGCTCAAAGTAAATATGTATGATTGATAAAACCCATTATTTAGATGTAAACGCTGTAAACGTGGCTTCAATAATTATTTGTTTGGTCTTACTCTTTTATTAAAGGATGAGAAAGTCTATTCCACCGTAAAAGAGGGTAAGGTTCAATAAATGTATGAACTTAAAGTATTTTAAGTGTGCGTAAAAACCAGTTAAAATAGTACGTCTAAATGAAAAATAAACTATAATTAATTATTTTTTTAATGACAGTGAATACTATGATTGATTTATTAGTATTGAGTTATTAAATTAACAACATTTAAAAGGTTTGGTAATTTTTTTAATCGGGCCATTGATTGGCTTCTCATTTTAAGATTTTAGTTAATCGTTAAATCATAAATTGAATAGAATTATACTAAAACTATCTTTTTATTCTTAATTATATCACGATGGCTTTAGATTTTAAATACAAACCCTATTTTCTTTTGCATTTTAAAGTTAATTGTCTTGATCGTTGATTTGGTTGACTTTTACCTATCAATTTGAATTGACCTTATTTTCTTTTTTGAGAGATTACTATCGTGTTACTGCATCCAATTAGTTTGCTATACTTTTATGCACGACAATAGTGTAGTAAAAACAAAATAATTATTAATTGAGAGGAGTCGATTTAGTCGAAAATCGAACTATTACCCTAACATAAAGGAGCACAAATGTAACTTTTGTTAGATCCAAAATAATTAGGTGTAATATGGAAGCTAGCAAATCAAACCTCGAAAGACCATGAGTAAGAAGACAAACGAGAAATATATCAAAAGACACAAAAATTTAACGTGGTTCGGTCAATCGACCTACGTCCACAAAGGAGATGAGCAACCTACTATATAAACATGAAAGTACAAAATATAGAGAGAAATAACATCAACCAATTCACTCGGAATACAAGGAGGTTTACACAAATGATAACGTATCACTTGTGTCCTAGAAATTCCCCCCTTAACCAAAACTCTCAAAGCTCCTAGACTACATTGTGAATGCTGATTAAGTTACAAGGAACAAGCCTCTATTTATATAATCTTAAACTTTTTCCTACACGAAAAAGACTAATCAAATATGAAAACTTTATGAACCTAATTATGGTAAGAAACTCAGACAAATAATACCAACAACTTTATAACCATAGATTCATTTGAAGCCATAGCTTTCAATACCTCACTAACAAAATAAAAATTCAGATAGTCAACCAACTGAGCTACTAACATTTTCCGCAACTCAATTTAATCACTTAATTACTCTTCTTCTTCAAACCTAAATATGGAAATACAGTTGAAAAGTTAGTAAAGGGTAAATTAAAGGAGAGTAACCGATTGGAACATTGAATACGTGCATATGTCGTTTTGTCTAACAAATTAACTACCAACAATCTCCCAATATCTTACTTTGCCATTTTTGTATTTTCTCTCTATCTCTGCATATCCCACCGCCACGTCATTCTTCATTTTTGCCATTTCTATCTTTTATATATTTAAAATAAATTATTTTCCTTTTATATATATATATAGAGAGGTTCTACTTTCTGATCATTTCACATTACAAATACTTAGAATCTTTATTTCATAGTTTCCCTTCATAGAAAAAAAAAACACACACACAATTTTTCCATCTTCTTAATTAAGGAAAAAAAAATGTTGAGATTGATAACAGGCAGAAGAGGAGCAAGTGGATTTGGGTCAGCTTCAACTGCTGAGGAGGTTACTGATGGTGTTGATGCTACCGCTCTCACGGTTATTATTACAGGTTTTACCGACTTTCTTCGTTTTAATTTGTTTATCTTGGTTTGATCGAACTCAATTTTTAAAAAATAAAAAAGAATTTTGAATCTTGTTATCTTAAACTAATGACATATTACCTCCGTTCACTTTTAATTGTCATAGTTTCCTATTTTAGAGTCAAACTACAAAAATTACGATATATTTTTTCATCATATTTGATAAGCAAAAAATTGCAATTTATAGTATTTTTTCGTATAATTTTTGAATATCTATTTTTTTAAAACAACATATCGAATTAATGTAATCTTGAAAATTAGTCAAATTGACTTTGGAAAAACACAACATGCCAAATAAAAGTGGACGGAGGAGTATCTAATATATCAAAATAACGTTTAATTATATGATTTTAAACATATCACATGAGATAATTAGGCTTTGCCGACCAATTTAGGTGTGTCGGAAGAACACTCGCTTGAGTAGGGCACGATCGCTCTACTCTTTGAATTGGAGAATCATTTGTTATTCACTCTCTTGATTTTCTGTTTGCTCCGTGATAATAATAATAGCAATTGTACAAATAGCTTACCACGTGTCAATTTTTTTTTTTTTTACTTGATATTTGGGATCCATATTGACACCGGACAAAATTTGAACCATGTGTCGATTATTTCCTACTTTTTGTATCTGCTATTTGCATTGGCATCGATTAAATTCGTTTCGCGTTACTTACCACTACGAGGAGGTAATTTTTTCCTACTTGTACAACCTTTAGAACTATATTTCCCCCCCCTAAACACCTTAAGGATATTTGATATATCATATATGTGGAGGCAAGAGGAAAATTTAGGAGAAAAAGGCAACTTTTAGTGTGTGCTTGGTATGAAGTAGAATATTTGCCTGAAAATCGTTTTGAAATTATTTAAAAAAGAAAAATAAGTGATATATCATATTTTTTTTGTGTTTTATGTTTGATAAATAAACATAAAATATTATCTCAAAAATATTTATACTGTTGATGATGGGGATAAGGCTCAAGTAACCCCTAGACTATGACTGAAATCTCAGAGACATACCTTAACTAAACTAAGTTCGTATTACCCCTGAACTCATATTTTTGTAATTTTATACACCTTTTGGCTTACATGGCACACTCTGTGACTCCATGTAGTTGAGGTGCGTGGGAGATGCCGTGTATGCCAAAAAAGTGTACAAAATTACAAAAAAATTGAGTTCGGGATGATAATAGGACCTTAGTTTAGTTAAATTGTGTCTCTGGGATTTCGATCATAGTCTAGGGGTACTTGTGTCTTATCCCGTTGATGATTATAGATTGTGCGGTGCTTCTGGTAAGTTTGAAGTAATTTGTATTTTATACAATAATACATTTTGTCCACAGGAGGTGCAAGCGGCATCGGTTTGGAGACAACACGAGTTTTAGCTCTGAGGAAAGCCCATGTTATTGTTGCTGCAAGAAATATGGAGGCTGCAAATGAAGCAAAACAACGCATTTTGAACGAAAACAGAACTGCACGTATTGATATTCTGAAACTCGACCTCAGCTCATTGAAATCGGTCAAGGCATTTGCAGATAACTTCTTAGCACTTAACCTTCCTCTCAACATCTTAATGTAATTGACTCGATCTTCATTCATTGATATATTGTTGGATTTTGCATCTGTTACTGCTACTGTTTTACGAGAATATTCAACTTTTTAGCTGTAGTAAGAGTCTAATACGAGTCTACCATGTTGTTTTTGAACATACTTTGCGAAAACAGAAACAATGCAGGTATCATGTTCTGTCCATTTCAGCTTTCTGAGGATGGAATAGAGATGCAATTTGCAACAAATCATCTTGGTATAACGCGTAATTTTTATTTCGGAGAGATCATTTCTCTCACGGATGTGGCTGATTTGATTGGGGGAAATTTTCAGGTCATTTCTACTTGACTAACTTCCTTCTAGACAAAATGAAGGAAACAGCAAAATCTACTGGTATTGAAGGTAGAATTGTGAATTTGTCATCAGTAGCTCACCTAGTTTGCCCTCGTGAAGGAATACGATTCCACAATATCAACGACAAAAACAGGTAACCTTAATTCACAAAGTTATAAAGCGATGGTACGTTGTGGAATCGATTTCTACATTGTGATTATTCGTTTCACTGATCAGTTATCAGGACAAAGTGGCCTATGGACAATCCAAATTAGCCAACCTACTACATGCCAACGAGCTAGCTCGCCGCTTGCAGGTAATTGGCTAAGTCTGCATACTAGTTACTACTAGCTGTCCTGCTCCTGGATGAATATTTAAGCTAATGTGTTACTTTCTATTTCATTAACTTCATTTGAGACAAATTAAAGAACGACATTTATAAAAAAAGATACTCGAAGGGTGTTAGAAGTGCAATTCTGTCGTGAAATGCAGGAAGAGGGAGCAAATATCACTGTCAATTCAGTTCATCCGGGTCTGATAATGACGAATCTCATGAGACATTCAGCCTTTTTGATGAGTACGCTACATATAACCCTCATACAAAAGATTAGCTTGAGGAATTTCCGAGTTTTAATTGGAATATTTTTCTTCTGATTGGCAGGAATCTTAAGGGTTTTCACTTGTTTACTGTGGAAGAATGTCCCTCAGGTAACAACTATATTGCTTGGACCCTCCAAATTTATAGCCTTTGGAGGATCCTACACAAACCCGAGAGTACATTTTTTAAAGAGCCTGAGCAACATACGTTGACAGTTTCTCATTACATTTGAAAGCTGAAAATGCTGATTAATTACTAAACTGATTTATTTTCCAGGGGGCAGCTACAACTTGCTACGTCGCCCTCCATCCAAGTTTAAAGGGAGTGACTGGAAAGTACTTTTCTGATTGCAATGAGTATAAGCCAAGCAAGCTTGCACGAGACGAAGTGTTAGCTAGGAATCTTTGGGATTTCAGCAACAATCTGATAAATGCATCTCAAAAGATTATTGATAAGTAGAAGAGAGTCATTGGAAATCCTGCAAGTTGTTATTACTACAATTTTGCATTCATATGTTGTGAAACTGTTGTATAAGGTAGTAGCTTTAAGCTTATCTGGTTCTGTTCCCAATTTATAGTCTATCTGTGTATGTTTCTTTAAGTTATCTTGCTCATGTTTTAAATGTATCTAGAATTTTAGTTTTTTGCTCTCTTTTCGATTCTCTATTGACCTTGTAATGACTGTGAAAACGTCTATTAAATTTTAGTTGAACCTTTCCATGTGTAATAAGTTGTCTAGTTTAACGATTCACTTATGGTAGTTTATCAGCAATCTTAGTTCCAAGCCTATAAATTGAGGGAAGCAGATTAATGCTCTTCTATAAATTTCTCAATTATGATTTTCGTGTAAGAAGTCTTTGGTACTCCTTCTCCCCTATCACTGCTAAATGTGAGAGAGCATCCCCGAAAGAAGTCCCTCCTCTTCCACATAAGGCAATAACAAAATATAGGAAATAGTGTTGCAGCACAAACAATTACAAGTTCTGATAACATAAAGGAGGAACATCCAGCGGCTACCCTTAACACAACAACAAACCCAGTGTAGTCCCATGAGCAGTGTCTAGGAAAGGTAGAGTGTACGACCCCTACCTCTTGGAGGTAGAGAGGTTGTTTATGAAAGACTCTGCCCTTCATGTGATTAGGTTTGACGGCTAGAAATCTAACAGCATCTACAGAGATCCTCTCAATAACAGTGAGGTCGAAAAAAAGAACCATCTTACAAAGGTTATCAATTGAGATTTTCTGGTACATCTGAGATACCTGTAAACAGTAAAAGAAGAGTAACACAAGTACGCTCTGAGTCAGTTAACGTATAAAACTACTTTTTGGATGATACAGGACGTCTGCAGAGCAAGCTCCTTAGACTAGCAAGGAGGATTGGTTAAGAAACAAAGTGGCCCGGGTTAGAGTCATGATCCAACATGACGCTTGCTTGGTAGGATTGGTTAAGAAACAAAGTTGCAGTCTTACTCTCAGCTATAGCTTTTGAAATGATCGTAACAATAATTTGTGCTTGATCCTAACATTAATTTTGCTCGTTCAGTAGCTAAATGAACTAATATTTACTTATTGACAGACTATACGATATTGGATGAGGGCATCCTTAGCAAACGTCCACCTTTCTCAAGTGTGCATCTTTTGCCATGAATCATGATCTATATATAGTTGCAGCGCTTATTGCTTTTGTCCAAGATTAATCAACTCTGCAACCAGACCTTAAACTCATTATCATACCAAACCCATATCAAACTGAACTTTGCTGTTTACAGATAGTAGTAGAGTTGAGGCTTGCAGCTACAACCCCACATCTTTTTTATACAATTTTTAACATTTTGTTTTTTATATTTCAAAAACAACTTTAATCTAAATCCCCTCCCCGCACCAAAAACATGTTAAGAATCCATCACCAACTTAATTATTTACTTAAGATAAGTCAAGAACAACCTAGAATATCCCGGAGATATAGAGAATTGAAGGAAGATCTCTAGAATAAGTATTCTAGAGAGAATAATCTAGAAATGTTCTAGATAGGGTAGTTCTAGATAAGTCAAGAACAATCTAGAATATCCCGGAGATATAGAGAATTGAAGGAAGATCTCTAGAATAAGTATTCTAGAGAGAAGAGTCTAGAAATGTTCTAGATAGGGTAGTTCTAGAATTAAGTAGTTGGAGGAATATTCTAGAATAGAGCAGAAAAATATGTTTAGCTAGATTGTTCTATCACCTCCTATAAATAGAGGTGGTTCATTTGATATGTAAGCAAGAAACCAAGCAAGAAATAAAGTAAGTAAGAAAGAAAGAAAGTAAGAGAGCAAACAAGAGTGAGTGCTAAGTCAAGAGTGTTGTTGAAGCAAGCAACAAGTGTGATTAAGATTGTAAGACCGAAGCGAGTCCTTACTTTGATATAAGAAAATTCAAGTTGTCAGAAATCAATAGTGCCCATCGTCTCCCACAAACAATATTCAACAAGTGGTATTAGAGCCTGGTGGATAAGAGCGAGGTAGTAACTCAAAGAAGATCTTACAAGCTATTGTTGGAGGCTACAAGTCGCGAGGCACTTATCAATGATAGATTTCACAAGCATTCTCAATAGTGTTGAGAAGCTCAACGCAAGCAACTACGGATCATGGAGCACGAGAATGCAATATTCTTTCTCGGCTAAGAATTATGGGATATCATTGGTGAATCAGACACCACACCACCAACAGATACTGAAGCAGCAAAAAGGTGGAAGGTCAAAGCTGAAAGGGCCATGTTTGTTCTCTCTGTAACAATTGAAGATGAGCTCTTGCAACGAATTAAGAATGCCAAGACACCCAAAGAAGCTTGGGACACATTGGCAACGATTTTTACAAAGAAGAATGATGCGAGATTACAAAGGCTTGAAAATGAGCTTTTGTCGATCTCTCAACGAAATATGACAATCAACCAATACTTCTTAAAGGTAAAATCTTTATCTGATGAAATATCAAAATTAGATCTTGAGAATGCTATCACGGAGACAAGAATGAGAAGAATCATTGTTCATGGTCTGAGGCCGAAGTACAAAGGCATAATTACATCCACACGGGGGTGGGCCACAGAACCAACTTTATTTGAGTTGGAAAATCTGTTGGCAAATGAAGAAGATTTGGAAAAGCCATTATCAAGTCTCACTATAAAACATGAAGGCACTCTTCACGAAAAGACAAGACTATAAAAAAAGAGAAGCGGAGAAAAGCTCACGGCCAGGAGGAGACCAAAAGAATCAACATCAAAGAAGTCAACGACAAAACAAGCAGACGAAAGGCTTTAACAATCGGCAAATGGAGAAGTGCTACAATTATGGAAAGAAAGGACACTACGCCAGAGACTGCTGGTACAAGAAAGTTGAACGTAATGTAGCTACTTCTTCCCAAAACCAGAAAGATGAAGAAGAAATTTGGGATTTCAAGACCTCTTATGCAGTTGAAGAAACTAATCAACAAGAGGAGCTTGTCACCTATCACTCTAACAAAGAGGAGGAGATTGCACTCGCAACTGTAAGTGAGAAATTGGTCGATTATGAACATGATTGGATCATTGATTTAGGATGTTCCAATCACATGACTGGTGATGAGAAAAAACTCATTAACACGAGTGAATATAAAGGCGGTCGAGTAGTGGTGACTGTAAATAATTCAAAAATGCCAATAACTCATTTTGGCAAGACGATGTTCGTGCCTCATCATAGCTCAAGACAAGTGGAACTTCAAAATGTCTACCATGTTCCAGGTATGAAGAAAAACTTATTATCTGTATCACAACTAACAGATTCCGGTAACTATGTCTTGTTTGGGCCAAATGATGTAAAAGTATATCGAAACTTAAAAGTTACAAGTGCACCAATAATGGAAGGGAGAAGGTTAGAATCAATATACGACATGCCAACCGAGACAACTTATATGGTACTTGATGAAGCACCAACATGGTGGTATAATGAAGTCTCCTTGCCAAATTCAAGGAAATTGGAGCAAGAGCTACAATATAAACTTGAAGAAGAAGGACAAAGAAGTGAGGCTGAATAGGAACAAGAGGTATGTGAAATATATAACTCACATATATAACTCACATACAAAGGAGATATTTTCAAAAGGAGAAAATAAGAATTCATGGAAAACAAGAGTACATGAAACTCCAGTAGTGTTGCAAGAAAGAGTCCAAGAAGCTCTGCAACCTCAACTAAGAAGGAAGACACGATTGAAATGCTCAAATGCCAAGTATATAGATGCAACATTAGCAGAGGTGGTTAACAATAAAGATACTACTACCTTTGAAGAAGCTTCAAAGAGTAGAGCTTGGAATAATCCAATGAAGGTGGAAATCGTCAAAGGGCATGGGCATCATGATGGTTACAAAGTTTCAGGTTACACATTTTCAGGAATCGCTCATAACGGATGCAAAGGAAAAATTAAGTTGGTGTTGAGGGGGAGTGTTAAGAATTTATCACCAACTTAATTAACTTAGGATAAGTCAAGAACAATCTAGAATATTCCGGAGATATAGAGAATTGAAGGAAGATCTCTAGAATAAGTATTCTAGAGAGAATAGTCTAGAAATGTTCTAGATAGGGTAGTTCTAGAATTAAGTAGTTTGAGGAATATTCTAGAATAGAGCAGAAAAATATGTTTAGCTAGATTGTTCCATCACCTCCTATAAATAGAGGTGGTTCATTTGATATGTAAGCAAGAAACCAAGCATGAAATGAAGTAAGTAAGAAAGAAAGAAAGTAAGAGAGCAAACAAGAGTGAGTGCTAAGTCAAGAGTGTTGCTGAAGCAAGCAACAAGTGTGATCAAGATTGTAAGACCGAAGCGGGTCCTTACTTTGATATAATAAAATTCAAGTTGTCAGAAATCGATAGTTCCCGTCGTCTCCCACAAACAATATTCAACAAAACAGTTCCGGATATCTCTTGATTCTGAATTACACACATGTTCCTCCGTTAAACTTAAGGTTAAATTTGTATCAAAGTAAAATGTGAGAGATATATTTAGACTAAAAGTATAACAGGAGTAGTATATTTAAACTATTTTTGATAGTACATGAATATATTTGACCCTTTTCCGAATCATAAATAAAAAGCACTTCAGAATGCGCAGTTTACTTCGCAAGAAGAAGATCGGTTTAACATCAGCCAAAGAAAGAAAGTTGTTTTCACTGAAATTTCTCCAATGAGTTCACTCATTGACTGACTCCCTAGACTTGGTGACATAGACGCCAAGCAGAGATGGCAATGAGCGGGAGACTATGCCAACTCAACATAAGACACCCATCTTTCACTTCTATTTTAAATCCCTCTGCATTTGGGAACGAGGCCAATAACCTGGCTGCCTGTTTGTAAGTATCTGAAGCCAGGGGAACCAGGTTGAACCCTGCTGAGTTAATTCTCTCTCGCCATTGAACCAGCGTCTCATGTCTCACAAATCGCTTAGTCCCTTCGCAAGCCACCAAATTTTAGATCTCCCGCCCTAGGTACTGCTCTGCCATCACTATGTCTAGAGTGTTGGGATTAATCGAATCTGCATTCTCCAGCAAATCGAACATTGTTGAATAGTAATGCCATCCTTCGCTAATCCTGTTTATAAAGACGCTCCAATTGTGATTCGCTTCTTGTTCTGCGATGGTCACAATCTTCGGTTCTATTTCATTTATTAAATCCAGCACTTTCTCAATTGCTCCTGGAATGGAAAACACACGGAGAAGCTCGAAAACAGAGTTCACAGCCACTACTTCCACATTACTGGGTCTAATATTCAACATCAATGCTTCAAGATCAGCTAAAGTATGTGCCATGAATCCACGGAATTCAAATTCTACACCAACTGACTCCGCAAATTGAGCGAGCTTAAAACCAACTTCCTGTAAAGGATCGGTACTGTCATCAGGCTGAGGTTGGCCACCGATTCCCGAGAGCCGAAAAGCCGGTGGACCGCCAGGACGCAAAGCGAGAGTTTGTAAAAGTGCCGGCCAATGCCAACCTTGATTCAAGCTGAAATCAATTACATGTACTCTCTTGTAATCGGCGAAGATCTCCAAAGTGGATTGACTGGCAGTGAAGTGGGCGATTTTGACTAAGAGGCAGCTATCGTAGAAGCTCATATGCAAGAGTTGGTCCTTGGAATAGGATGATTCAACAATATCTTGTGGAATCAATCTGTGAATCTTATAATACAAAGCATCTGCAAAATAAGTAGCCACTTTCTTCATTGCTCCTCCAATTTGTGAAGCTGTAACTCTTCTTATGTCACTGATTAGTACATCCGCTAGGCTTAGGTTGTTCTCATGGATTGCCTCGGCACAGGCCATCAACGTAGTGATAAGAGTCTCTTGGTTCACTGTCCGGTCAGTATCCGGCAATAAACCACCACGAAATTCAGATCCACCGCAAGTGTTGTTGCAAAGTGCCCTGAAATCAACATTAAATATCCTAATTTCCTGCTGAACATCAATTTGCTTATTATTCGTAAGCCAGTTGGAAGATGCACTTGATGATGCAATCATGGAATCATCATCACCACCGGCAGCAGTAGAAATCTGCTGGTTGTGGTTGTTTTCGTCTACACTTGTTGAAGACAACGAATTAGGAATATTGTGATCTGAGATCAAACTGTGAGTCCAGCCTGAAATATCAGTAGTGGCATAGATGATTGCATCTGTATCAGAAACAAAGGAATCTTCATCTTCCACAATTGTTTCCATGGACATCTCTGGTGAACTCATCTTTCTTTATTGTTGTTGATAAATTGGAGCTACCTTCTTCTTTCCTAAAATGAGTGAGGTCGTGACATAGTCAACTTTTTTCTATCTTTTTTTATTTGTTTTTTCAGGAGAGATTTCGCTTTCATTTCATATATCAATCGGAGTAGACAATCAACTTTGTGCTCACTCTGTTTACTTCCTGATTAACTATCAAAAAATAAATTTGCATTAATATATCAACAAAAAAGAATTATGTTTTACCTTTAACATTTGTTACTTATTGGCTAAATCAGTTTTGAAGACTTAATACTAAGGGTGCGTTTGGTCATGTGGTATGAAATCAAGATATGTAATTATGAGATGAAATTGAAGTTTTGTTTGAACGTGCAATTTAAACTTTTTATATTGTATGTTATCTAATACAATATAAAAAGTCATTCATTCATGTGATATGAAATCATGATATGTTTTTATATTGTTTGTTCAAAGGATAATACATCTGTAGTTGATTGATATATCCAACAAACTACGACAAACAAAGTCATTCATTCAAAAAAAGGTGAACTTTGTCATTGAAGAGCTCAAGCTCTCAACACATACCTCAAGGGACTATCCGTCTTTGAAGTATTGTTATGAAATGCTTGTGATGTGGTAAACTTGTATGATCCATTTCTAATCTATAAAGGAACGCATCGAGTCAGTTGTAAGGGAACACATGAAAACAATTAGAGCTAATTGTGTGGTGTGTGATTGAAGTCTATATTAATTAGAGTTAGTTAATATAGTGGGCAATGGAGGCATTGCTTTGTCTCTTCTTGTAATAGGGTTATTACTTGGTGTGAGATTAAGAGTTTAATCTCGTAATGTGTAGTTGAAGTCTGTATTCACTCGTTGCTTGATATTAATGAAAATAATTGAAAATCCTGTGTGACATGTCGTGGTTTTTCTTCTTTGAGCAAGGAGGTTTCCATGTAAAAACTCCTTGTTTTTCCTTTTCAAGCTAGTATTTATTATCGTGTTCTGGTGTATTTTTAACCTGGTCCCATAACATGTGGTGGACTAGCACATTTCAACAATTTCTCTCATCGATGTGGCGGATTTGATTCCTTTTTTTTGGGGGAAATTCTCAGGTCATTTCTACTTGACTAACCTTCCAGACAAAATGAAGGAAGCAACAACATTTACTGGTATTGAAGGTAGAATTGTCAATTTGTTATCAGCAGCTCACCTAGTTTGCACTCGCGAAGGAATACGATTCCACAATATGTTGTGAAACTGATGTAGAAGGTAGGAGGTTTAAGCTTGTCTGGTTATGTTCCTCATTTATAGTCTTTCTGTGTAAGTTAGCTTATGTTTTAAATGTATCTAGAATTTTAGTTTTTTCGCTCTTTTTTTCGGTTCTCAATGAACCTTGTAATGACTGTGAAAATGTCTCTTTAAATTTTATTTAAACTTTCCATGTGTAACAAGTTAGCTAGTTT